GCAGCAGCGGCGGCGGCGGCAGCGGCGGCGGCAGTGGGCGGGCCCGGATCACGGGTCCCAATCGGGTGGGGAATTTTTGGGGGGTGAAGGATCCCTGGTCAGCTTTGCGTCTTGGACGACCAAGTCGGGGCGGTGGGCGTGCGCATGTCTCCGGTCCTGGGGACGGGGCTTTTGTTTCGCTGAAGGCTCACTTGTTGGCCTGGCTGCTTGGAAGGCGGCGGCAGCGGCGGTGGGCGTGCACGGGTCAGGGGTCTCAGGGGCGGGTCTTTTGTAGGTGTTCAGGCTCCCTGTTCGGCCTTGTTACTTGGACGGCGGTGGCGGCGGCGGGGCGTGGGCCCGGGTCTCGTGTCACCGTGGCATGGGGTCTTTTGTTGGGTTTATGGCTCCCTGGTCGGCCTGGCTACTTGGACGGCGTCGGCGGCGACGGCGGTGGGCTGGCCCTGTCACGGGTCCCTTGGGGGGGTCTTTTGTAGGGGTTCAGGCTCCATGGTCTGCCTGGCTGATTGGACAGCGGCGGCGGCGTCGGCGGAGGTGGGCGGGCCTGGGTCAGTGGCCCATGGGGGGGTCTTTTGTAGGGGTTCAGGCTCTATGGACTGCCTGCCTGCATGGACAGCGGCGGAGGTGGGCGGGTCTGGGACTCGGGTCCCCGTGGGGGGGACCTTTTGTTAGGTTTCAGGTTCCATTGTAGGCCTGGCTACTTGTAAGGTGGCGGCGGCGGTTGGCTGGCCCGGGACACAGGTCCCAAGGGGGGTGGGCTTTTGTTGGGGTTCAGGCTCCCTGATCGGCCTGGCTGCTTGGACTACGAGGGCGGCGTCGGCAGTAGTGGGCGAGCCCGGGTCTAGGGTCCGGTGGGGTGGGCTTTTGTTGGGGTTCAGGCTCCCTGATCGGCCTGGCTGCTTGGACGACGACAGAGGCTGCGGTGGGCGGGCTCGGGTCTCGGGTCACCGGGGAGGTGGTGTCTGTTGGGGTTCAGTCACCCTGATCGGCTTCGCTGCATGTATGGCGGCAGCGGTGGGTGGTGTGCGATGGACAGTGGGAGGCCGGTGTCTCGGATCCCCGGGGGTCGGCTTTTTTTGGGTTTCAGGCTCTCTGGTCGGCCTGGCTGCTTGGACGGAGGCGGCGACGGCGGTGGGCACGCCTGGTTCTCGGTTCCCCGGGGAGGTGGAGCTTTTTGGGGGTTCATGCTCCCTGATGAGCCTGGCAGCTTGGTCGGTGGTGGCGGTGGGCGGGCCGAAGTCTCGGCTTCCCGTGGAGGGGGCCTTTTTGGGGGTTCAGTCTCCCTGATCGGCTTGGCTGCTTGGACGGCGCCTGCGGTGGGCGGGCAGAGGTCTCGGGTCCCCTAGGGGGTGGAGAGCTTTTGCTGGGCTTCAGGCGAACTGGTCGGCCTGCCTGCTTGGACCGGGGCAGAGGCGCCGGCGGTGGGCGCGCGTAGGTCTGCGGCCTCGGGGGCGTGGCATTTATTTCCGTGAAGGCTCCCTGGTTGGCCTGGCTGCTTGGACGGCGGTAGCGGCGGCGGTGCGTGGGCCCGGGCCTCGGGTCCCCGGGACGTGGGGGACATTTGTTGGGTTTCAGGCTCCCTGATCGGCCTGGCAGATTTGACATAGGCGGCAGTTTTGGGCAACGGATCTTGGTTCCCGGGGGGTGGGGGGGCAGCTTTTATTTGGGTTCAGTATCCCTGAACGTCCTGGCTGCTTGGATGGAGGCGGCGGCGGTGATGGGCGGGCCCGCGTCAGGGGTCCCAGGTGGCGGTTCTTTTGTAGGGGTTCAGGCCCCATGGTCGGCATGGCTGCTTAGAGAATGGCGGCGGCAGCGGCATTGGGGGGGTTCTAGTCTCGGGTCCCCATGGGGTGGGGAATATTTTTTGGGTGAAGAATCCCTGGTCAGCCCTGTTTCTTGGACGACGAAGTCGAGGCAGTGGGCGTGCCCAAATCTCGGGTCTAGGGGGCGGGGCATTTGTTTCGGTGAAGCCTCCCTGCTTGTCCTGGGTGCTTGGACGGCAGCGGCGGCAGCGGCGGCGGCGGCGAGGCGTGGGCCGGGTCTCGTGTGCCCGTGGCATGGGGGCTTTTGTTGGGTTTCTGGCTCCCTGGTCGGCCTGGCTTCTTGGACGGCGGCGGAGGCGGCGACGGTGGGCGGGCCCGGTTCTCGGATCCCCAGGGGCGTCTTTTGTTGGGGTTCAGTCTCCCTCTTCGGCCTGGCAGATAGGACAGGTGCTGCCGTTTTGGGTAACGGATCTTGATTCCCTGGGAAGTGGGGGCTTTTGTTGGGGTTCCGGCTCCCTGATCGGCCTGGCTATTTGGAAGTGGGCGGAGGCGGCGGTAGGCGGCCCGGGTGTCAGGTACCCGGTGGGGAGGCTTTAGTTGGGGTGCAGGCTCCTTAGTTGGCCTGGCAGCTTGGACGGCTGCGGCGGTAGGCTGTAGGCGGTGTGTGGCGGTCGGTGGGCGGCCCCATGTCTCGGGTCCACAGGCCGGGGGCCTTTTTTTGGGTTTCGGGCTCCCTGGAAGAACTGGCTGCTTGAAAGGCGGCGACGGCCCCGGCGGCGGTGGGCTGGCCCGGGTCACCGGTCCCATTGGGGGGTCTTTTGTAGGGGTTCAGGCTCCATGATCTGCCTGGCTGCTTGGATAGAGGCGGCGGCGGCGGCGGCGGAGGTGGGCGGGCCTGGGTCACTGGTCCCATGGGGGGTGTTTTAAAAAACACCCTCCTTGGCCAGGCTGCATGGACAGCGCGGCGGTGGCCGGGTCTGGGACTCGGGTCCCCGTGGGGGGGACCTTTTGTTAGGTTTCAGGTTCCCTGGTAGGCCTGGCTACTTGGAAGTTGGCGGTGGCGGTTGGATGGCCCGGGACACAGGTCCCCAGGGTGTCGGGCTTTTGTTGGGGTTCCGGCTCCCTGGTCGTCCTGGCTACTTGGAGGGAAGCAGCGGCACCGGTGGGCGGTCCGTGTCTCAGGTACGGGGGGCGGTGGGCTTTTGTTGGGGTTCAGTCTCCTTATTGGCCTGGATGCCTGAACTTAGGTAGCGGCGGCTGCGGAGGCGGCGGGGGAGGCGGCAGCGGCGACGGCGG